AAGCTCATATTACACATTTTAAAAAAAGAAAAGCTGATTCATCTAGTAATGCTGAAGGGTGATAAGTACTCTCTGTAGTGATGAAGACATTATTAATATTTACCACCATGCTGAGGTAGAAGACAGTTTTCTCTCTAGGCATTTAAGGAAATTCATATTTGGTATGGTAAGATATAGTGACTTTGGAAAGCCTCATATTTTTAGTGTGAAGCTGAGGTTGCTTTGAAGGGAAGTTTGCTTTATTCCAGCAGGTAAGTAGCATATGTTTCTCAGGAGGAATACAGAGCAGTGGCAAGTTTTAGTTTTATAGCTTTATCTAGATATTGTTACAGATCAGGAGTAACAGTAGTTTGGCTGAACAAACTTTTGAAGGGCAGACTGCATATATACAGCTCGCTTCACTGTGAGACTCCAGCTTGCTTCATGGTTGTGTATTGGTATGGGGTTTCTTATCAAGGTAATGACGGTGTGTTCCAATCTTTGATATCTCAAGAAAATTAGTGTTTATTCACATAGCATTCAGAGACATAGGCTAAAAAGTAATTAACATTGTCAAAAATGTATTTAAGAGAAAACTGCTGTGGTGTCAACGGTGGCTGCTTTTGCCATGTGTCACTGCAACCACCCAAGACTCAGGGAGTAGGGATAGACAGAAAAAAGAAAGACCTTTGTGTATTTCCAGTCTTTGGATTTATATTTGAAAGTGAAAGGCAGTGAAAGACCTTTATTCTCCTTCCAAGAGATGAACAGAAATCTGTACTCAGAGTAGTAGATACCATCAAGGATGCTGTCAGGGTTGTCGGAATAGTTACGCTTTCACTGTAAAGTTCTCATTCAGTTTTTATCAGAGAGCATTTTGGTTGCTTTGTGTAATCTCAGTTCATTTACTGAATGAAAATTATTATAAAGTGACAATATACAGTTTTGAAATGATAGCTGCTATTTTCATGTCACTTATTACATTTTAACATGTTTTATAACTTATTTATGTTTGTTGTTGGTGGATCTTTATTTTGCTGGAATATAACATCCACGGGAGCATAGAATTGTGTCAGCTTTGTTCACTGATATTTTCTAACTGCCTAGAAGAGTGAGTGGTATCTAGTAGACCCTCCATAAGTGCTTGTTGAAGAAATTAATTTTTGAGAACATTGAATGCCGGGGAAATAAATATGAGATTTATCTTGCAGGAAATACAAATGATGTGAAATTCAAAATTAGTATGTTTGTCTTGAATAATTGCAGTAAAATATTCTTAAGACTAAGGAAAATGTGTCATAAAATGTGCATGGAATGCAAACCACTTACGTCTAATATTATTCTATAATAGGAAACAAACATTTTTCCCCAGTATTTTGAGAAAAGAATACTATTTCTAAGTCATGATTGCAAAATGATAATTTTATTAGCTATATTAGAGTACTGAATACACCAATGTAATTATCTCTTGAAAAACAAGTATAATAATGTATTCATTTATAGGTCACCTGCAATTCTTTTTAGAATTGAACATGCTTTGGATTTTTAGAACATAACATTATTGGCCAAGAAATTCTGGAGGAAAAATTTGTCCTCGGGGAACATGGAAAGAGTCTGATGTGGGATTTGTAGTAAAAGTAAAGCACCACCACAGAGGTGTTGCTTGACATGCTTTTCATTTACCTATGGTCACTTAGCAAGATTTCGGAATTCATCTCCTATACAACTTTCTCTTGTAATTCTAGAGATTATAAAGCTAGTAACGAAGACAATCTTTTGTCTAAAGCACTGATCTCTTCCAACTAATTTGATTGCAATCACAGAAGTGCCACTAGAGGTTGTCAGTTGATTGTCACAATATTGTACTAAACATGTTGATCCTGTAGTCTTTTACACAATCTCTTTGTGGGAGGTAACTTTCATTATATCTTTGTTTAGAAACTGGGTTTTCTCACGAAGTCAATATGTGTTCTGTGTTTTGGGGTATCAGGTTGATGTGATGAGTCATAGCTTTCAGGTCTCTGTAAATATTGAGCCCATTGAAGTGATTAAAATTTATTTGGAAATAAGGCAGATATATATGAAACAGTAAAAAAACTATAGAAATTATTATTATTCTCATTATTCAAAGACAAATAAGTATATTTCCGCTAAAATTATCTCATTCCTCTGGGCAGTAAATGCTGTATCTATTCTAAATTGATTTTTATATGAGTTTTGTCTGTGATGCTTTCAAAAGTATACATATAATCCTCTAAAAAACATGCAGAGCCATAGATCAAGAGGTTTTATTTCTGGAGGCATAATAATGGCAGTGGCATTAATGACTTTAAAATAATAATCCATCAGTTATTTTTATCCTGGAGACTGCTCCATGAAACCAAATTAGCTTCAGTCAGGAATAAAATAATATACCATAATTTGTGAATGCATAATAGTATAAACTAGTATAAAGGAAGTCGAGCTGGCAGATCAAGGGCCCACACAGGAACACAACTATGACCTTTTGTCCTTTGCTAAGATACTGCTTTTTCTTTAATTTTGTTTTCTAATACATATATTTTCCGGGTTGTATTAATTTTGTTTTCTAATATATATCCTTTCTAATCTATGTATCTAATATATATCCTTTGTATTTGTATATGGTTTCTCTTTATATTTTTAAAATTTAAGTAACATTGTTTTATTTCTTAATGTTGTCATGTTTATTTTTCCAAATAAAAAAAAAAAAGATTTGAAGTCATTGTGTATAGAAATCTTAGTAGGGCTATAATCCTTTGAGAAGGGGATTACAATGTCTGTCTCTCAGAGTTTAAGGGAAGCAATACAGCAAGCCATCCTAGGCCTCCATATCCTTTGAAAACTTCTGAGCCCTGTGTTTTCTGGGAAATTTTCCAATACTTTTCTCTGATGGAATGAGCAAAAGTCTCTTACTCACAGACTTTATGGTCTCTTCAGATGCTCACCAGTTTATAACCTTGAGCCAGTCACTTATTGTCTGTGAGCCCAACCTTTCCTCCATAAAATGGGGATAATAATATCTACTTTATAGCGCTTGCTAAAGATAGATTGAGTAAATCTGTATCTAAGACTTTGGAAGTTCCATAAATGCTGAGTCAGAAAGACTCATGTTAAGCTTTGGGGGTACTCGTTCTGTGAGTAAGTACACTGTGTTAAGCATGTATTTATATTCCCTTACATATTTAATGTTTAAGACAATCTTATTAGGTAGATACTATTTTATATCCATTATGATAATGAGGAATGTGAGATAAAGATGCTATTTAATTTCTTCAAAGTCATATAACTAGTAAGCTGAAAAGCTTGAATTTAAAAAGAAGCCACACTCATCCGCTACTCTACACAACCAGTGGCATTGGCCAATTTTATTTTATTTTATTTTTTTTCTACACGTTAGTGTGGATTATGATGATCTCTTGGCATCTAATAGTGAGTTCTTTGGGCTTTCTGTCCCTAGAAATTATAAATGCAGGGGTCAAGCACTTTGCCAGTTAGGGAAAAATGTGGAAGGCCCAGCTAAAAAGAAGGCAGGCTCCTTTTTTATCTTAGACAAAGAAACAAAGAAGAATAGACTTCATTTTAAAATGTGTGTGAGCTGGAGCAGTGATTTTTTAAAGTCAAGAACTGTGTATCCCATTAGTTTAAAAAAGAGCTTACACCTTTAATACAATTTTACAATACTCTCTATATATATATTTATACATGCTACTGGACAAATAAACATTAAACACTTGGCAATAAATCAAAAATAGATAAAATGTAGACAAAAGCAGAATTAAAATCATTCCTTTATACCTTCTGATAAACCTTATCCACAGCTAGTCTAGTGGAGAGAAACCTGGGCAGAAATAGAAAACTGGAGAACTTGAGGAATCAATATTAGCTGCTAGAAAAATTTAGTCTTATAAAGAAGATTGCACAATCATCTAAACACTTGGAAATCACATGAAAATTTGGATTTCTGCCTTCTCTTTGAAAATCAGAAGACCCAGCAACACTGGTTTGCATTCCCACATTAACAACCATTGACAGAAGTTGAGCACCAGCTGGTCTCTTTAGAAAACCTTGTGTTGCACAGTTTATCACAGCCTCTACCATCACTGTTGTGCCCTTAGGCTAATTCATTCTTTTCCTTTGTCTGCTTGTACTCTGTAGGCATTTGAGTTTGGAATCTCTGAATTAGAGAAACTGTGTTCCAATTTATAATCAGGGCCACAATTTATAATCAGGGGCATTTTGAGCAATTCTGTGTGGATAATTTCCTAAATTTACAAAGAAAATGAGCATGTCATTCTTTCAATAAGACTTTCTTGTGTGTGCTCACAGGCCACTAATTTCTCAATCAGTTGTTTTCTTTTTCTTTTTTTCTTTTTTTTTTTTTAATTGCTGGAAGATTGAAAAGTAAAACAAGAAAATTAAAATGGAATGCATCCAAATGCTTCATACAGCAGATGTAGTGAATATTGACAGATTTTCCTTAGTCTTTCCCAGCATAGTTAAGTCAATCTCTGATCACTCTACTAGAAAGGAATTAACGTTTTAATGATATACTTTTCTACTTAATTGCATAAGACAAATTTTCATTGAAATTCTCATGTAGGATACTAACAACTGGCTTACTATCTTACGTTTGTTTGTAAAGTTATGCTGTAGACAACGTAAGTTTAGTTACTCAGACTGATTAACATTTGACCTACCCATCAGGTCTTAAATTTTAAAGAGTGTGCTTCTGATATTGTTAGTATGTTAACTTCTCAACCTGCTTGCTGGAAAATTAAATAACAGAAAAGAAGTCTTTCCTTAGAGATTACTTGTCTGAAAATTTATGTTGATAAACAGTTCCAGTGCATTAAACCATTGTGTTACTTCGTTAATGGATAACGTGGCACAGGTAACTAACTATGAAGTCATTAAGGCTTTTCTGTGCTGTGACAATTGCGTTTACCTGTAACAGATTAATGAACATGTCAAATGTTTCTTTCTACCTCCCCTTATTTCAGATCAGCTTTGAGTGAGCTTTGACAGAAGATGTTTCGACGGTTTTATCTCTGGACGTGTTTAGCTTCAGGGATCATCCTGGGCTCTCTCGTTGAAATCTGCTTGGGCCAGTATGATGATGGTAAGGTTGCTTTTAGCTTGATCTTTAGAGCAAGCCAGGATTTTTGTTATTACATTGAAAACACACCACAGATATGAATAATGCTAATTTGTAGTTTATTATTGAAAGGTTAGTATCTCCGTGTAATAATTAACCTTAACTAAAATAAGCTTAAAAAAGTGAAATCACATGTCCTTTGTTTCTTAGTAAAGATTGCAGTATGGTAGAAGGAATATAGTTTAGTAGAAAATCTAATGCAAGACCTCTGTTTGCTTATTCTTGCTAGGTAAATGCTTAATTGCTATAGAAACAATATTAAACTGTATTTACTAACCCTTGAATATATGCAAACAAAGGTCTCAAACAAAGCTAGAAATACAAAAGACAACAAAATTTGACCCTCCAAAAGGGTCAGAAGTAGCAGTCATAAGTATTTTTGTTGTTGGCACTTTAACTGGGCATTGCATTATTTTATCCCCCACTATTTTTTTTTTTTTTTTTTGGAAAGAATAGAAAAATAAAAAAGATTTGGTATTTGATTTCTTAAGTTTTCCCCTAACAGTAAGTCAGTCATTTTAGAAAGATTTATTAATTTTCACGTTCCTTAGAATCTGTTTAATACATTAAATTTGCTTGCAATGGCCCAATTGTGCCTGTCTTAGATATTTCAATATTGGCAGAATCTGTCTTAGAATACCCTATAATGAGAGTTAGGATATATATATATAATATGTTAAATTTGATAGAAGATAAAAATGGAAAATGTTTCCTCCCTAGAAATTTTCTATTCAAGAAAATTGAGTTTTATTTCTTTCCTGTCTTTATTTTCTTTTAACTTTTCATTGTTGTTATTCAAGATTTGTTTGGCATTCGTGGTGCACAGACAAGCAAACCGGTTGCTCTTAATGGCAGCAAAGGATGTGAATTTATTTTGTGCTTTGATTGGCTGAACTGATTGATCAGAAGATAGATGAATTAGTTTGGCTTTTTCCCAAACAATGTTCAAGTTGTACATATATTAAGACATTCCCAGTCTTCAATAATGTGAGAGATAAACTTCTTTGGGGATTTGCAGAATAATTCACAATAGTATTCCCTTTCATATAATTGGCAGCATAATCTTTTGAACACTGCTGCTAGTTAGCACAGTGTTTACTTCAAGTGCATCTGAATTTAACTTCACATCTTTGACATTTATGGAGATTGTGAATCTGCAGCCTAAAAATGAATTTCAAAAGCAGTATATATAAATAACTGCTATTTTGAAGGAAAACACATTGAAATGAAAAAGAGTTGTGACTCTGTAGTTAAAGAACACATTTTAAATTGTGCCAGAGGAGTAGATTGCAAATCAATGTATTGGTATTACTTTATATAATAAGGCATTCTATTTTCATTCTTATTTAGTGTTCACACTGAGCAGGAAACTATTCACTGTCTGTCTTCACATTAGACATCTACAAACCATGCACTTTTTAGTAATGTAATTTTAGTTAACAGATAAAATTACTTCTGGTTTAACCTGTAATGCTATAAATTGATTTTCTTCATAAGCTTGTTACAGTTCTTAGTCTTATAAATATATTTGCATTGCCTCTAATACGAGATTATCAGGTCATTATTGGGCATCACATAGTCAACTTTCTGAATCCCAGTGGAATTTCAGACTTGCCAAGTGATACAGCACCATGGGGCTGTCTTTAATATACTATACTCACACAGCTGGAATGCTTTGTAGGGTTTCTCCTCTTGGAAGTGATTCAATTCTTAGGAATATTGAAGAAATGGGAAGTATGACAGATAAACTTACTTTTTGTATAGTGTTTTATCAGTTTTCTAACTGTGTGTATATTTCACTATTCCTTCCATGCTTGTATCCTCCAATGTGCCTCCAGATATAATGATGCATTCTCTTTCTTTAGGTCTCCTCCCACTTCTTTCTTTCTTTTTTTGTCTATACAGAGTCTTGCTCTGTCTCCCAGGCAGGAGGGCAATGGAGCGATCTCAGCTCGCTGCAACCTCCAGCTCCCGGGTTCGAGTGATTCTCCTGCCTCAGCCTCCCAAGTAGCTGGGATTACAGGTGCCCACCACCACACCTGGCTATTTATTTATATATTTATTTGTATTTTTAGTAGATATGGGGTTTTGCCATGTTGGCCAGACTGGTCTTGAACTCCTGACCTCAGGTGATCCACCCACCTTGGTTTCCCAAAGTGCTGGGATTACAGGCTTGAACCACTGTACCCAGACTCCTTTGAATCCTTTATCTCTTTCAAACCTCCCTTAATTAGAGACTCTTTGGCATTAGTGTTATTGAATCATTCAGTTATGTATAACTGAAAATGATTTTCATAATTCCTTTCTTTTAATCCATATAAAATCATGAGCCTGTGCCATGCAGGGCTGAAATCAGGACTAGGCAAATCATGGCTAACACAAACTAGCACTAAACTGGAATATGTGACATGAATAACTTGAATAAATATTTGTATCCAAATTTTTGGGTTTGCAGGTACATGGTTAGGTTCAAAGAAGGCAGTGGTGATGGTAGTAAACAGAATAGAGACTTGCAAGAAAAGGCCAAAAGGAAAATAAAACTTGTTATAGATAATCTACTGGTTAGATTAGCCTATTATGATTTTACATATGTAGTTACATAAATAGGAGCTTCAGAGAAAAGTGAAGGAAAATATGTTTAAGCTATCCTTCGTATATCCATATTAAAGAATAATACACTTCTGGATTTTAAATTAAGAATAATTTATTCTGCTTTTCTATGTATTTTTTAATTAAACATAAGGGAGTTGGAAGAAAAAAATGGATTGCTGTTTTAATAAACACTTCATCCTAAAATTGAATATTCTATTATTATCCTTTTGTGTGAAATTATTTATAAGGACAATTTATTTTATGATTATTACTTTTAATAACATGTAACAATATTTTTTACTTGAAAACTTTGGCTAAATTTTGAATCTTTAAAAATTTCTCTTTCAAATTGCTAGGATGATTTTAGACGAAGCAATAAAATTTATAGATGGTCAATTCCATAATGGACATTTCATTTGGTTAATGATTGTAGATCTATACAAGTACTAGTAACATAAATGAGGCTGATAGTATGGTTTTGTGTTTAAAATGTCAGAATGTAGCTGATAGAGCTACTAGAAAATTAGAGTACATAATACATTTATAGTTTATGGTATATCATTTTGTTATTTTGCCCTGATAAAAGAGCATTAGGGATGACTCACGCCTGTAATCCCAGCACGTTGGGAGGTCAACGGGGGCGGATCACCTGAGGTCTGGAGTTTGAGATCAGCCTGGCCAACATGGTAAACCTTTGTTTCTACTAAAAAAAAAAAAAAAAAAGCGGGGTATTGTGGCAGGCTCCGGTTATCCCAGCTACTTGGGTGGTTGAGGCAGGAGAATTGCTTGAACCACAGAGGCAGAGGTTGCAGTAAACTGAGACTGTGCCATTGCACTCTAGTCTGGGCAACAAGAATGAAACTCTGACTCAAAAAAAAAAAAAAAAAAAGCATTAGGATTTATGTTGAGTATATCTTTTAATGCATTAATGATCCTGAAAATTTTATTTGAATTGGGAAGTGTGCCCTGATCCCAAATTGAGTGTGGGGAACCTAGGAAGCAGGTATTCTCGGAAAGCAGAGGAAGCAGGACCCTGTGCTAAATTGTATGTTATGAAAGATTTAAACAGATATGTAATACATAGCCATTGTTCGAATATATTTTCCCCAGTTAAGTAAACAAACTAAGTTGTGTGCAGCATTTATGTTGTGCTTTATTTAGTTTTGATTTTGAGGATATATATAATAATAAAAAGTCCAAATGGACTGGGATGAAATGGTGTCTCATTTTTGTTGTAACTTGCATTTCTCTAATGATTAGTGATGTTGAATGTTTTTCGTATGTTTGTTGGTCAGTTCCATTTCTTTTTTTGGGAAGTGTCTATGTTCTTTCCTCACTTATTAATGGAGTTATATGTTTTGTTCTTGTTGATTTGTTTAAGTTTCTTACAGATTCCAGATGTAAATCATTTGTCAGATATATTACTTGCAAATGTTTTCTCCCATACTATAGGTTGTCTGTTTATTCTGATAGTTGTTTCTTTTGCTGTGCAGAAACTCTCTGGCTTAATTAAGTCCCATTTGTCTACTTTTGTTTTTGTTGAATTTGCTTTTGAGGTATTATTTACAAATTATTTGCCTAGGCTAATGTCTAAAGAGGTTTTCCTAGGTTTTATTCTATGATCTCTATAGTTTTGGGTCTTAAATTTAAATTTTTAATTCATTGAGTTAATTTTTGCATATGGTGAGAGACAGGAGTGAAGTTTCTTTCTTCTGCATTTAGCTAGCCAGTTTTCCTAGCACCATTTATTGAATAGCGTGACCTTTTCCCAATTTTTAATTTTGTCAGCTTTGTTGAAGAACCATGGTTATACATATGTGATTTTATTTTCTGGTTTCCCTATTGTGTCCATAGATCTATGTGTCTATTTTTATGCCAATGTCATGCTGGGTTTTTTTTGTTGTTGTTTTTTATTATAGCCTTATAGTATACAGTCAGGTAATATGATGCCCCCAACTTAATCTTTCTGCTTAGGATTGCTTTGGCTATTCAGGCTCTTTTTTTGGTTCCATATGTATTTTAGATTTTTTAAAAATAATTTTATGGATAATAAATTTGGTACTATGATAGAAATTATATTGACTATGTAGCTCGCTTTGGGCAGTATAGTCGTTTTAATGATATTGATTCTTTCACACAATGATCATGGATATTTTTCCACTTGTTTCTGTCATGTAGTGTTCCTTTCAGCAGTGTTTTGTAGTTCTTGTTGTGGACATCTTTTACCTCATTGGTCTCCTTTGTTAAATATATTTCTATATATTTTCTTTTTTGTGTCTATTGTAAATGAAATTAAGATTTTTATTTGGCTCTCAGTTTGAGTGTTGTTGATCTATAGAAATGAAACTGATTTTCAAGCATTTATTTTGCAT